CACAATTAATTGGTAAAAGAATAATAAATTACAGAAATATTTATACAAAAATTAAGTTATATTTATATATATTTAATTTAATGTTTGCATTTCGTGAAGGTACCGATATTTCGGAGAGCATGATCAAATATGCGAATGAAACATTCAGTGACGAAAAACGGTTGCAATACGAGGTATTGGATATTGGAACCAAAAATTTGCCTAAGAAATATATTTCTGAATTTGAACATATATTATCATTTCACACTTTGCAATGGTGCAGCGATCTTCGGTAAGCAATATCTTATATAAAATATAATTTAAACTAAATGTCAACATTTATTGATACCTTATTAACAAACCCTTTAAATAAGCGCAAATTAACTTCTTTTTACAAACATATTGTGTGTGCATCAGTTTTAGAATAAAACAAGTATTCAAATAAATTTATTATTTTAAATATTTGTATTCAAATGCTTATATTTTGATACTTGCCGTATTATTTTACGTTTTAACATAATTGTTTATAATATTTCTCAATATTTCTATAAGATAATAAAATAATGACATAATTTGAAAAAAGAATAAGTGCAAAATATCAGCTAGTGTTGTAACAGGTACCTGTTAAAAGATATCTAGATATAGATACAGGTTCTTTGTGGAAAAAGTATTTAATTACAGGTATAGATACATTTTTAAAAAATTATCTGGGGATGGATACAGGTACAGTATAAAAGTACCCGGAAGATTTAGTTACTTTTTATCTTAAAAAAAAAAAAAGAAAATAAATTGCACAAAAAAATTTTATTTTAAATTAATACTTATGTAGTATATAAAGATGTATTACTTACAAAATATTTATAAAATAAAATCTTAGGCTAATTGCCATGTTTTAAAACTAATACGGTTTCAAATATAAAATACAATAGGGTAGACCGATGCAAATCGGATCAATAAAAGTTTTGATATAATTATTGATAATTTTTCTGTTTCAAATGAGCTGTTTTATCATGTTAAATAATAGTTATCATGTTTTTTTTTAATTAATAGTATTTCAAACATTAAATCAATTTCGGAGGAAGGGAGAGGGTTTAAAATTTGACTACCTGTATTAAAAAGTGTCTTACAACGAATGCAAAGGACGGCAGAAATCTCGTGATAATAATCATAGAATTGCGAACATTATTAAGAGAGATAAGATAAACATATAACAATCAAAAATTTAAGTGGTAAATATACCGATGAAGGGA